CAGCTCTGTCTGACCACTGCTTGACCCTCAACACAGAGCCTTGTCTCGTTTTTGGGGGTATTCACTGTATGCTGTTAGAGACTGATTGCCAGGAGTGTAAGCTGATTGTCTGCTTTTCCTGTTCGTCTGCTAGCAGCTATTTGGGAGGTTCCAGTTCGGGAGTTGGAGTGCTATTTTGTATCCAGTTCAGGAGTTTGGTGTTCTGCAGTAGCTGTGCCTGCATCTCTGGAAAGGGGGCCGATCGCCTAAACGTTTTTTTCCCCTTTTGTGCAAAACGGTCCGTTACAACTTGCATTAATGATATTGTTTAATTGTTATCTCACTTGCACACTTAAGAAACGTGTACAACAGATGATTACAGAAGCTGAAAATTGACCGTGCAAACTCCTCTTAAAGGGAAAACCTACGGCACAGAGCAAATGGGGAAAATCAAGGTGAAGAAATAATGAAAGTCCTGCAGACGTGATTAGCAGGTTTGAATTTACCTCCTTTTGTTTCTCTGCCACAGGCCTCCTATGGATTTTTTCCGTAAGATAGATCATGATATGATCTAAGAGGGGAATTGTTGGATACTAATATCCATTTTGCTATCTATCCTAGCTGTTCATATAAGGGTTAATTTGAACCAAGAATAAATTTGGAATTGTATCTCCGATTGTCAGAAATAAAATTTATCTAAAATTCTAGTTACGGGAAAAGTATTGATTTTGAAATGTTCTTGTTAATTGTCCAAGATTTTGGTATTTGTAAATATCAGTTTTTTATCAAATATGAGTGCGTTATATAACGTTGGATATAACTAGAAACAGCTGTTCAGAACTTGTGAAAAACAATCTATGTCATTAATGCTCATGGCCCCTACCGATATGAAAATGGGGTATAAATATAACTGACGTATAAATAAAATTTGAATTGGTTACAGAACGCATCTCTTGTCTTTTTAACTGATTTCCAGGATCCTGTTTCCTAAGAGGGAGGGGCTCAGCCAGTATTAATCAAGTCTTCATGTATAGCTGATTTTATCCCCAACAGTTTTACCTTCCTCCAAACTTTAATGGTGGCTGTGGTGGTGGGGAGTTCTGGTAGGACTTTTTCCCCTGGGGCAATGAATGTCCAAGTTAGGGCTGTCAGGGGAGTGTCTATTTGTGTTTGTTCTATTTTTATTCAGTTGTTTGGGTTTCTATGATCCTTCCTAAGTGTACGGCTTTGTAATAGAGGAGTATGTTTGGGCAACCCCCCTCTCTCCTTGGGTCTTGTTAGAATATGATATGCTATACGAGGCCGTTTCTTGACCCATATAAATGTTGTGAGAATAGATCTTATGGTGTGGAAGAGTTTATTAGGGAGTGGGATTGGCAGGGTGTTCAGGAGGTATAGTAGACGAGGGAGTACGTTCATAGATATGATAATAATCTGTCCCATCCACCTGAAGTATGGTTTGTCCCATGAGTTTAGGTCCCTCTGTATAGAAGGCAACAAGCCTGAGAAATTCGCTGAGTATAAGGTCTCTATTGATGAGGTGAGGTTTACCCATAGGTATGTTATTGTTGTTTTGATAGATTTATTTTCAATAACTCACATTTCTCAATATTGATTTTGAAATTCGAGAGGTTGCTATACGTCTCGAGTGCTTTCATCAGATGCGGCAGGCTTCTCTTAGGGTGTTCTATAGTGAACAGAAGGTCATCTGTGAATGCAGACACCTTGTATTCCCTTTTCTGTACGTGTATGCCAATTATGTTCCTCCTTTTGTGAACTTCCTGAAGGAGGGGCTCTAGGGCTAGGATGGATAAAGGGGCGATAAAAGATATCCCTGGCGCATTCCGTTTGAGATGGAGAATGAGCCTGATAACTGCCCGTCGACTTTAATTTTGCTGTTGGGGGTCGACTAAATTGCTAGGATACATTGGATCTATCTGGTGCCGAACCCCAGAGCCTCTAAGGTGCTTATCAGGAATGTCCTCTGTCAAATGCCTCTTCTGTATTAATCGCCAGCAAGAGAGTTGGTGTGTTTGTTTTTTAGCTAAATTAATAAGATTTATGATCTTGGATGTGCTATCTTTCGCTTCTCCTGCTGGGACGGAACTGGCCTGACCAGGGAGGACTAGATCTGGAAGAAAAGGTCTTAATCTATTTGCATCCATTTTTGTAAAGATCTTGACATCCACGTTTATAAGAGATATTGGACGGTAGCTCAAACATCTCTCCAGATCTTTCTCTGGTTTAGGGATTAGTGTTATTGTTGCCTCTAAGTTGGACTTGGGAATGCTTTGTTTGGGTGATATGGAGTTTAGGGCTTCTAATAAGTGGTTGGTTATTTATTTTTGAAAAGATTTATAGTATGTTGCCGAAAATCCATTGGGGACTGGATCATCTAAAGTGAATGGTTCGTCTGAGGACCTATAAACGGAGGATGGAAGAATTGTGTTGAATTTGTCGGTTAGGTATACCTTAATTTCTTCAGTGTTAGGACGTCTCTCGTTGAGGTTGTATAATGAGTTGTAGTATTCTCAGAAGGCTTCTGCTATGTCTTCTGTTGTCTGAACTATTGTGTTGTCCACCTTCCTAACCTTAGGGGCGTATGTTAGTTTCATGCGGTATCTCTTCCCAGAGTGTGCTCCTTAGGTGGGGGTCCTGTCATGCGGTATCTTTTCCGGGTTCGGCTCTCCGCTATGCGGAGCTGGCCCCGCCCCCCTCTGATTCGTCTCTGACAGTCTTTAGAGAGAAGGCGCTTGGTGATACTGGGACCTACTTCTGGGGTATGCACGCCGGCTCCACAAGCTCTGATAAGCCGTCCTAGCCTTCTGAACTGAGGGAAGGAATATGCTTAATGCCATAGAGGATTACTGGAGAACGGATAACCTTCTACTTTACAAGTGGACTATATCTCTGAACTCTTCGAGGACAACTCACATTAACCTTAAGTATAGCTTTCAACTATTATCTGCAATCTCTCTAATCAATGAACTAATTCCTGCTTGCTCAATTCTTCTCTGCTTCAAGTTACTAATTATATGGAGGACAACTCCCATCATGCTTATTAACTATGAACTGTTCGTGCTTTGCAAATGCTCTCAGCTACTTGCTTAATGTTTCTATTGAAGATTATTCTCATGAACTTAAAGAATCTTACTTAATGCTTCTCTGAGGAAATACTTATTAATGAACTTTGTATTATTTGAACCTGAACTTCTTCTTATTGGATTATTGCCTAAATGCAATTCATTTAAGTTTAACAATCATTAAAACTTCATTTGAATCTCAAGTTGTCAGCAATCCTCTCTTTTCTTAAAGCTACAGTATTGATACTGTAAAGATTCTCTTTACCCTCTTTACCCTTTGATATGGTAATTGGGTAATTCAATACCTTTACAAGTCAGGAAAGAGACTTCCTCTCTTGGCTGGGCTGCAGAGCAGATGTGCAGACGCCATGTGCTATCCTGGTGAACCATGTTACTCTCTGTTGCTTCCTTTTCTTCCTTGGTGGATGTGATGTTGAACTTGCAGCAGTGAGCCATTACTAGATGTGAAGGCCTAACCTTGCGCTGTTACAGTCCATAATGAATGCGGCAGCGAGGCTCATCTTCCTGTCCAACCGCACCTCCCACGCCACACCCTTCTGTCAGTCCCTACATTGGCTTCTTATAAAATATAGAGCTCAATTTAAAATTCTGGTTCTTGCTTTCAAATCTCTACATAATGCTGCTCCCACTTATCTATCCTCTCTTATACACAAGTATGTCCCGTCTAGGCCCTTACGATCTGCTGAAGACATACGTCTATATTCTGTCCGTACTCCCACCTCTGATGCTCGCCTTCAAGATTTTTCGAGGGCTGCATCGTTCCTGTGGAACTTGCTTCCCTCCTCTGTTAGCTGCTTACCCAGTCTCCACTCTTTCAAAAAATCGTTAAAAACACACTTCTTCATAAAAGTGTATCAATTAAACTGTTAAGAGCTCCTGACCAGGGCCGGACTGGGAAGAAAATTCGGCCCGGGCATTTTTTAATTACAGCGGCCCACTAAAAAGGGGGCGGGGCCAGATAGGGTGTGTTTTGTCATCACCAATGACAAGCACGCCCCATCACAAAGTGAGCATGTTGGTTCAATGCTCTTCCAGGGTAGACCATGCGCAGAGCTCTGCTAAAGAGCTCTGGCATGAGAAAAATATCCTGTATTTGTTCTGCACAGCGCAAGCAAATTTAATAACATGCTTGGACTGTGTTTGCATGAAATTTGTCCCTGGTGTCTCCATAGTTGGGATACCAGGAGACAAAAATGCCAGGAAAGCATATTGCGCAGTGTGTGTGAGGGTGCTCTGTGTGTGTGCGTGTGTGTGTGTGTAAGGGGTGTAGTGTGTGTGAGAGAGGGGTGGAGTGTGTGTGTGAGTGATGGGTGCTGTGTTTGCATGAGGTTGCTATGTAGGTAGGGGTGCTGTGTGTGTGATGGGTGCAGTGTGTGTGTGCTGTGTGTGAGTGGGTGCTGTGTTTGCATGAGGATGCTATGTGCATGTGAGGAAGCTGTGTGTGAGGGTGCAGTGTATGCATGTGAGGAAGCTGTGAGTGTCAGGGGTGCAGTGTGTGTAAGTGAGGGTGTGTGATGTGCGTGTCAGGGGTGCAGTGTGTGTGTGTGAGGGTGCTGTGAGTGTCAGGGGTGCAGTGTGTGTGCTGTGCGTGTCAGGGGTGCAATGTGTGTGTGAGAGTGCTGTGAGTGTTAGGGGTGCATTTTGTGTGTGCTGTGAGTGTCAGACGTGTAGTGTGTGAGTGAGGGTGCTCTGAGTGTCAGGGGTGCAGTGCGTGTCAGGGGTGCAGTGTGTGTGTGTGAGGGTGCTGTGAGTGTCAAGGGTGCAGTGTGTGTGCTGTGAGTGTCAGGGGTGCAGTGTGTGTGTGAGGGTGCTGTGTGTGTGCTGTGTGTGTCAGGGGTGCAGTGTGTGTGTGTGAGGGTGCTGTGAGTGTTAGAGGTGCATTTTGTTTGTGCTGTGTCAGACGTGCAGTGTGTGTGAGGGTGCTGTGAGTGTCAGGGGTGTAGTGTGTGTGTGAGGGTGCTGAGAGTGTCAGGGGTGCAGTGTGTGTGCTGTGTGTGTCAGGGGTGCAGTGTGTGTGTGTGAGGGTGCTCTGAGTGTTAGGGGTGCATTTTGTTTGTGCTGTGTCAGATGTGTAGTGTGTGTGTGTGAGGGTGCTGTGCGTGTCAGGGGTGCAGTGTGTATGTGTGTGTGAGGGTGCTGTGAGTGTCAGGGGTGCAGTGTGTGTGTGTGAGGGTCAGACGTGCAGTGTGTGTGCTGTGAGGGTCAGGGGTGCAGTGTGTGTGAGTGAGGGTGCTGTGAGTGTCAGGGGTGCAGTGTGTGTGAGGGTGCTGTGAGTGTCAGTGGTGCAGTGTGTGTGTGAGAGTGTCAGGGGTGCAGTGTGTGTGTGAGAGAGGGTGATGTGAGTGTCAGTGCAGTGTGTGCTGTGAGTGTCAGGGGTGCAGTGTGTGTGTGTGCTGTTAGTGTCAGGGGTGCAGTGTGTGTGTGTGTGAGTGTCAGGTGCAGTGTGTGTGTGTGTGCTGTGAGTGTCAGAGGTGCAGTGTGTGTGTGTGAGGGTGCTGTGCGTGTCAGGGGTGCAGTGTGTGTGTGTGAGGGTGCTGTGAGTGTCAGGGGTGCAGCGTGTGTGTGTATGAGGGTGCTGTGAGTGTCAGGGGTGCATTGTGTGTGCTGTGAGGGTCAGACGTGCAGTGTGTGTGTGAGGGTGCTATGAGTGTCTGGGGTGCAGTGTGTGTGCTGTGAGGGTGCTGTGCATGTCAGGGATGCAGTGTGTGTGTGAGGGTGCTGTGAGTGTCAGGGGTGCAGTGTGTGTGCTGTGAGGGTCAGACGTGCAGTGTGTGTGTGAGGGTGCTGTGAGTGTCAGGGGTGCAGTGTGTGTGCTGTGAGTGTCAGGGGTGCAGTGTGTGTGTGTGAGTGAGGGTGCTGTGAGTGTCAGGGGTGCAGTGTGTGTGTGCTGTATGAGTGTCAGGGGTGCAGTGTGTGTGTGGTATCCAGGGGTGCAGTGTGTGTGTGCTGTAGGGGTCCCAGGCGTGCAGTGTGTGTGTGTGTGTGAGGGGAGTGCTATGCTTGTGTCAGGGGTGCAGTGTGTGTGTGTGTGTGTGAGGGTGCTGCTTGTGAGTGTCAGGGGTGCAGTGTGTGTGCTGTAGTCCAGGCGTGCAGTGTGTGTGTGTAGCTGAGGTGTGAGTGTTAGGGGTGCATTGTGTGTGTGCTGTGAGTGTAGGGGTGCATTGTGTGTGTGCTGTGAGTGTCAGGGGTGCAGTGTGTGTGTGAGGGTGTCGTGAGTGTCAGGGGTGCATTGTGTGTTTAAGGGTGCTGTGAGTGTTAGGGGTGCATTGTGTGCTGTGAGTGTCAGGCGTGCAGTGTGTGTGTGTGAGGGTGCTGTGAGTGTCAGGGGTGCAGTGTGTGTGCTGTGAGTGTCAGGCGTGCAGTGTGTGTGTAAGGGTGCTGTGAGTGTCAGGGGTGCAGTGTGTGTGTGTGCTGTGCGTGTCAGGCGTGCATTGTGTGTTAAGGGTGCTGTGAGTGTCAGGGGTGCATGTGTGTGCTGTGAGTGTCAGGCGTGCAGTGTGTGTGTGTGAGGGTGCTGTGAGTGTCAGGGGTGCAGTGTGTGTGCTGTGAGTGTCAGGCGTGCAGTGTGTGTGTAAGGGTGCTGTGAGTGTCAGGGGTGCAGTGTGTGTGTGTGCTGTGCGTGTCAGTGCAGTGTGTGTGTGAGGGTGCTGTGAGTGTCAGGGGTGCAGTGTGTGTGCTGTGAGTGTCAGGGGTGCAGTGTGTGTGCTGTGAGGGTCAGACGTACAGTGTGTGTGTGAGGGTGCTGTGCGTGTCAGGGGTGCAGTGTGTGTGTGTGTGTGAGGGTGCTGTGAGTGTCAGGGGTGCAGTGTGTGTGTGTGTGTGAGTGAGGGTGCTGGGAGTGTTATGTGCCCTGATTATATCCCCCCTCCCTGCTTACCTTATGCCTGGGAGGGGGGATCCTGCTGCTGCTGCCACCATCCATCCCTGGTGGTCCATGTGGTGAGTGAACTCTAGCCTGTTGGGCTAGAGTTCACTCTCGCGAGACTCGGAGCGTTGCCATGGCAACGCTCCGAATCTCGCGAGAGGTACCCGGCGGAGCTGTAAGTTAAAGCTCCGCCGGGGTTCCTCGGCTGGCTCCCTCCCTCTCTCCCCCGACGGCCACAGTATTCTCTATGTGGGCCGGTGAGGGAGATCTCTGATCTCCCCACCGGCCCGCTGTAGACTACTGCAGGGCCGGCGTTCAGATAGTGCCAGCCCTGCAAAGACCGGCAGGAGAGATCCGGCATTTGCCCGGTGTGCCAGATGGCCAGTCCGGGCCTGCTCCTGACTGATTCCTCTTCTGCAACTGTCACTAGTCTAATACTATCCTTACCTTTTTGTATCATTTTACTCCACTCCCTCTAGCATGTAAGCTCATTGAGCAGGGCCCACAACCCCTCTGTTCCTGTGTGTCCAACTTGTCTGGTTACAACTACATGTCTGTTCGTCCACCCATTGTAAAGTGCTGTGGAATTTGATGGCGCTATATAAATAACATTAATAATAATAATATGTTCCCTGGTACTACCCAAAGTAGATTTCTCCTTTATAGTACTGCTCTATGCTTCCCCTTCTCGTCCAATTATACTAGGATTCCCATGGCTTGTTAAGCATAATCCTCATATTGACTGGGCTAAGGGGAAAACACTGAAATGGGGTAAAGAATGTAGCGTGGGCATTGTTGCTCTACCTAGTCCTACACCTCAGCCTACCGAAATTCCTGTGCAGTACTGGGAGGTTAAAGACGTATTTAGTAAAAACCACACTGATACAATGCTTCCTCACAGACTGATTGCTTATGATTGCTCCATAGATTTGTTACCCCCCACTATGCCCCCTAAGAGGGCAGTATATGCCTTATCACCACATGAAAGTAGGATTATGGAGGATTACATTAAAGAGTCTCTACTAAAAGGTCACATACGTAAATCTTCTTCCTCTGCAGGTGCAGGTTTCTTTTTTGTATCCAAGAAAGATGGAGAGTTACGGCCTTGTATTGTTTATAGGGCATTGAACAAGATCACCATCAAAAATGCTTATCCCATTCCCCTTATCTAAGAATTGTTTGACAGACTCCAGGGCACTAAGGGGTTTACCAAACTCGACCTTAGGAGTGCTTACAATTCGGTAAGGATTAAGGATGCTCATGAATGGAGAACTGCATTTAACACGAGAAGTGGTCACTATGAGTATCTTGTCATGCCCTTTGGCTCTAGAGCCCCCAGGTCAGCTAGTGTATGGATTTTGTTATATAACATTTTCAAAATATGATGTGGATACTTGTGTTATTTGAACTCTCTATTAAATAGCACTATTTTCCCAGTACCAGGTTTAATCAAATTCACTTTTAGCTTCACGCTGCTTCTTCACTGTACACAGTTTACGGTTTTCCATGGTAATGGCAGACACAGGGCTTGACATCATCAGGATAGGTCGTCCAAAGTGCCTGATCTTGAGAAAGGCTCAAGGAGGCTCTGAAAAGTTGGTCACAAATATAACAATAATGGTTAGAATTTTTGAATAAAATAAACATTCTTGTTTGGATTAAAAAGTCCTAAGAGCGCTCGTATCTATTATACTTAGTGCTGGAATTTAGGTTAGAGTGCCAGTGTTTGTATATATATTATTATATTAATACTCACAAGGATAGAGCAGAAACACTGCTCTATTAATAAGGCGTTGGTGGCATGATCCCAACCTCGGAACAACAATAAAAGGCCAGGAAAGTAAAAATAGTAAAAGTGCATAAAATACAATAAAAAGAGAATTGGCACAGCAAAGTGACCAAAAAACTTTAATTGATCTAAAATGCACAATATAAAATAACCATTATGCATTTTGAAATGGGAAAAATCAATCAATAAATTGATTATTCTTTGTGTATCTGCCCCTGGCCAAATTTAGGAAACAATGTGTGCACGCTCCCTGAAGTAATTCACACCAGACACAGGTTTCAGGTTGTTGAATAACTTGAGGAATGTTTATTCAGAGGGGACGGCAGGTCCCTTTTAAAGCAGAATTACATCATAAGCATTGTCAGAGATAACATGAAATAATACATCAATAATTGGCTAGGTGTTAAGTGGTCTTCTTAATGCTCTGCCTACTAAAGGTGATGTCACTGGAACCATGAGGGTCTCCCCCGGATTCCAGCGCCATCTTGTTGCACGAGGTAGTTAGTCGGTGTTATAGGGAGGGAGGGGTTAGAAGCTTCTAGCGGCCATTTTGTCTAAATATGCGTGAATAGCTTATATACTGATTTCAGTGAAAGGAGTAAATAGACATTTTACTATCTAGAAAATATATCAATATCTCATTTCCACAACAGTCCCCCCTTAAAATGGCTATCTACCATAGCAACTGCCACTGTCCCTAGCGTATCCCAAGCTGCCTGCAGCTCATCTGTCTTCACAAGCATCGAACTCTTCACTCCGTGGGTAACCCGCGGTAGCTAGTCCACCACATCGCCACATGTGAGACTTGCCCATAGAGACAGACGCTTTCCCTACGCTATCCCTACAGGAATGCAGTTGTCGGTTTAAACTGATGGGATTGGAGGGGTGTATGTGGTGTGTCACATTCTAAGTCAGTGATGTCCTGGTGTAGGAAAGTAGGAGTTACGTTGTCTATAGTCTTCCCTGCTGTCTTCTGTAAGTATTTCTGTATACAAGGAAGTACACAACAGGTTAAAAATAGAAAGATGACAATCATTATGAGAACTGCTGTCCCAACCTGGAATAGGGTTCTCTGCCAACCATTCATCCATCCAAACCACCTGTCCCAGGTATCAATGACTCCTGAGTTTTTCTTCAATTCATCAGAGAGACTTTCTCTATGGCCATAGTTACCTTACCATTGGGCCCAGTGTTATCTGGAATAAATGTACAACATGTCATGGTTTTGGGGAGGATTTTACATACGCCCCCCTTTTCCGCCAAGATCATATCCAGAGCCAATCTATTTTGAAATGTCATTTGGGTGGTGGCTTGCAGCTGTTCTGCTAGGCCCTGTAGGGCATCCCTGGTATAATTAACAAACCGCTGCTGATTATAATAGATATAGTTAATCCAATAAACATTCTTATTAGCGGTAATCATTGGAATCAAAGATTCAAACCCGGCTGCCACTTCGTCCCTTGCCTTGAATTCGCTGGGCACCCCCCTTGGCACACCAATGGCATCAACGTAAACATGTGGATCAAAGCTCCCTCGGATGGGGGCTTCCCTCTTGACTCTGGAGTGTGTGTGTGCGGGGTCTAACACATTGTGATAGCCATCTGGGATAATATGGATAGGCATTATGGCTTTGGTCAATGTACATTCTCCCCACCATAGCCCCACCAGTTGGGACCTCAATTGTTTATCACCACATAGCCAATATATGTCCCCAACTGTCTTTGCATGATTCATTAATAATGCTATGGGTGAATTATGATAGGTAGAGCAATAACCAGATGGGAATTTGCCCATGAATGTACCTGTGTTCTTAGATATTGAATAGCAAGTGTAGTTACCTGGGTATACCGTGACTCCATCAGGTGGTCTAACGTGTCCCTGGGTGATTGGGTAGACCCTTTTCCATGATTCACATGTCGAGGAGTTAGTGGTAAATTGTGCATAAAGACTCAGGACACATAATTCAACAGCGGGAGGTAGGTTTAAAGGCACCGTACCCAGGTGGGGCCTGGCCCCTCCACATTCATAATAATTGGTCTTATTGTGTGAGTTAGCATTATATCTCATCCATTCCAGCTATAAATTAGTGTCTGAGAACACAGTTTCTACTGCCATTGTGTCTTTGAAAGTAGGATTGGCTATGGCTACCATATCATGTAAAGTCTTGATATGTGGGTTCAGTGGGTTAACAGTCATGTGAGTAGTTCCTACCCAGTCAGGTGAGGTAAGCATATCTTGTAGATAGAATGTCCCCAATTTGTTGTATGAGCCACCTCCCCTCCAGTACATGCCCATTACATATTCCCCCGCATCCTTTGGACTAGGGTGCTCTATGTTCAGTGTGAGTTTAATGGGTGTTGACCCAATAGGTTTACTTAAGGTCATTCTGGAGAGTAGGGGTTTTCCGTCTTTGTCAATTCTGTCTAGGACGCTCTGGGGCCTATAGCCCCATGGTCTACCCGTAGTCCACCCAGCCGCCTTCCATGAACTACAATGATGTCCCCAGGACCCTCCAGTCACACAAATGTATAGGTCTTTTTTACTGGGTATATCCTTATATATAGCAGCATATTGTGTTTGTGGGAAAGTACAAGTAACAATATCACAGTAATCAAAGTAGCTACATCTGTTGGAAGAATTATACCAGAAAGTGTAGACCTGGTTATCTTTGGTTATGGCCACCTGCTGGGCCCATGCAAAGTCTAGCAGCATAGGAAAACACAAGAAACACAATAAATTCATAGCTCAGCAGGGACAACTTCTTCTGGAGCAGGCACTTTCTTGCAGTGTGAGGCGTGTATCCAGGAACTCTTCCCGGACAGTTTAACTGAGGTAGCTGTGATTAGGAGCACTTGGTAGGGACCATCAAATCTTGGCTCAAGGGTGTGTTTCCTGAGAAATTTCTTGACCATAACCCAATCACCAGGAAGCAACTTGTGTGTACCTGTATTCGACTCAGGATCTGGAATAGAAGAAAACACTTGGGCATGGATTTTGGTCAAGGCATGAGAAAGAGCAGTTACATAGTCTACCATAGCATCTGACTGAATCTTGAGTTGTTGGGGAAAGTAACAACCTAACCGTGGTGTCGTGCCAAACAGAATCTCATAGGGAGATAAGTTGTATTTTCCCCTAGGGGTGTACTTTACACTAAATAATGCTAATGGAAGACTCTCGGGCCAGGGCATGTTAGTTTCTTGTGACATCTTAAGCATTCTGGCCTACCAGTCTACCTTACCACTACTTTGTGGGTGATATGGTGTGTGGAATGCAAGGGTCACCCCCAGTTCTGACCAGACTTCCCGTGTCAATGAGGCAGTGAAGGAGGTTCCTTGGTCGCTTTCCATCACTTCTGGAACTCCGTACCGGCAGACAATTTCCGTCAGAAGGTGTTTGGCTGTGTTCCTTGCAGTGAGATTAACCACTGGGAAAGCTTCTGGCCATCCTGACAACATATCCACAATGACTAGTGCATATTCATAACGTCCACTCTTTGGCATCTGGATGTGGTCAATCTGTATCCTCTGGAAAGGGTACTGGGGCTTAGCCAGGTGGTTAGGTGCGGTTTTAACAATCTTCCCGGGGTTACATTTAGCACATATTGTACAAGATCTACAATAATTCTGTGTCAGAGTAGTAATGCCTGGTGCTTCAAAGTATTTATCAATCAGGGAGTTCATCAAATGTTTTGATAGATGGGCTGGCCCATGAGCCCATTGGACAACAGCTGGATACATGTTTTTGGGGAGGCAAAACTCAAGATTGATGGTGTAAACATCATCTCGGAGAACAGCCCCTTTGTTCTTCCAACTTTGCTTCTCCGGAGGGGTGGCAGCTGCTTGTTGCTCTTTTAGAAGTCTGAGATCTGTAGGTAATGTCTGCATAGTGTAAATAGGTATTGTGTCAGTGGCCACTCTTCTGTCCACTTGTCGTGCTGCTTCTTTGGCGGCTTGATCAGCCAAATGGTTGCCTCGTGCTTCCTCTGAATCTAGTCTTCCATGGGCTTTTACTTTTAACACCGCCACTTCTGCAGGAAGCACCAAAGCATCCATCAGTTCTTCAATGGCTGCCCCATGTTTCACCGGAGTACCAGTGCTGTGAGAAATCCTCTAGTTTTCCAAATTAGGCCAAAATCATGTGCCACTCCCAGGGCATATCTTGAGTCTGTATAAATATTAACACGTAGACCTTCGGATAGCTTACAGGCCACTGTGAGGGCCGTTAGTTCGGCTTCTTGAGCTGACTTAGTTGGCTGAAGTGCAGCTGCCTGTAATATTTGGCTTTCTGTAGTAACTGCATATCCGATGTGAGATCGCCCTTGTTCATCAGCAAATCTGGAACCATCCACAAACAGTGTCTGGTCTGGGTTGAGTAGAGCAGCCTCATGCACAGTTGGTAAGTGGGTAGTTTCCATCTTCATCTGTTCAAAGCAATCATGGGGAGTTTCTGAGTCATGTTCCATGGCAGGCAGGTCTTCACAAATGTCTGTGTGGTATCTAGGATATCCAGCTGTACTGCAGTACTGGGTTGTTGTGCTCCAGGACTTGGCCATTGGGCCTAAATCTTTCCATGAGATGTCATGAGACTTGGTGAGGGATATGTGTGGGACAGCGGTCTCCCAATGACGGTAGAGGTGAGATGCATCCTCTGGGAGGTGTACCAGCAGGACCATGTTGCCTGTGGAGTCCCATAGTAAGTCTGTCAATGTGATGGGAATTTCCACAAGTTGAAATAGTTCTTCTTCATTATCCACATCAGGGCCTGGGTTGTCTTTGAACCACAGGGTGCAGTGTAACAAGTTCTCTGGTTGCACATCATGTGGAGGTGTAAGAGTAGATAGTTGAAATTCCATCCGGGCATCTGAGTTGACATCCATGCTGTACCAGTACTGTGCAACCCCCTCCCCCTCCCTTGGGAAGTGGAAGAAGAGTGGCCGGATTCAGCGAATAGCAGTGTTGAAGGGTAACGTTGTCAGGTAACAATAAAGAGGTTTGCAACCGTAGATGGCGTTGAGAAGAGAGATGTTTAGGCTGAACCTGTTGAAGGATTGCAGAAATATCATGAGGTGCCAAGATGGTCAGTGTGTGACTGAGAACAAAGTCATTAGTTTTATCCAGTAAGGCACTGGCAGCAAACACTGCCCTCAGGCAAGAGGGACTAGCTCTGGCAACGGGGTCAAGCATGCAGGAGAAGTAGCCGATGGGCCTCTGTCTGGAGCCATGTTTTTGAGTTAGGACACCGGAAGCATGGCTCAATTTTACAGACACAAACAACTTGAAGGGTAGCTAATAGTTCGGTAGGCCCAAGGCAGAAGCAAGGCAGAAGCAATGGATTTCTTCAGGGCAGTGAAACAGGCAATAGCTTGTGGTGAAAGGAAAAAGGGCTCACTCTTCAGGGCATCGTAGAGTGGTTGCATTAGCTGGGAGGCTTCTGGAATCCAGGACCTGCAATACGTGATGAGGCCTAAGAAAGCATGGAGAGACTGATGAGCTGCAGGTAGATTCAAGATGGCCAAAATCCTTTGTTTGGTGAGGTGATGGGTGCCATGGGAAAGACAATGTCCCAAGAAGACCACAGAGGGCTGGCACCACTGGAGTTTTGATTTGGAGACCTTGCAACCTTCTTCAGCAGTGTGGAGATCAGCAGCACAGAGAAGTAAGTCATCAACATATTGGAGTAAGACTACATCTGAATGATCCCTTTGCCAGGGTTCCAGAACCATTGACATGGCGCGGGCAAACTGAGTGGGGGAATTTTGAGACCCCTGAGGCATGACAGTCCAAGTGTATTGCTGACCTTCGTGGGTGAAGGCAAAGAGGTGTTGGCAGGATGGGTCAAGAGGCACACTGAAAAAGGCATTCGCCAGATCCACAACAGTAAAGACTGTAGCTGCGGGTGGAACCTAGGACAGTAGAGTATGTGGATTTGGAACAATTGCAGTATCTTTGACAGTCACTTCGTTAACAGCACGTAAATCCTGAACCATACGGTACTGATCAGGTTATCCCTTTTCAGTTTTCTTCTTGACAGGGAAGAGGGGGTATTGCATGGTGACACACACACTTGACAAGGGCACCTTTTGCAAGGAGACTTTCCACTTGTTTGGAAATAGCGAGGGCCTGTGCGGGTTTCAGTGGATATTGGGGTCTGCGGGGAGGGGCCACTCCTGGCAGTAGTGTGACCACAACGGGGGGAACTTTATGGCGTCCAATATGGACCAGTGGACCAGAGCTTTGTAGGAATCTTGTCCAGAGCACTGTGGGCATGAGGGACCCTTGATTCCCCTGTGGGAGATGTGAGATGTAATAGTATGGGGAGGGAACAAAGTACTGAAGTATCTTTCCGTGACTGGGGTGTATGTAACTGAACTTGGCCGTCTGCACTAAAGGTTATGGAAGATTGCAGCCGAGACAGGACATCAGCACCCAAAAGGTTAATGGGGCACGTTGAAGAGACAACAAAACGTGAGAGGATATCTGACCCCACATGGAGGAGCTTTGTGAGTGGGCTATTACGGGGGGGTACCGTCAACTCCAACACAGGAGACATCAGTATCTGACAGGAAGGATGGGTCAGGCAGGTCTTGTTCTCTAAGAACGCTATGAGCTGCACCTGTGTCAACTAGGAATGTAGTGGGATGACCCTCTACGGGTAGAACTACAGTGGCTAGTGGCCCACCCTCATCCCCTGTAGACACTGCCATGGCTGACACAGGCTTGCCGGTTACCTATTGCAACAAATCTAAATGAGCCTGGTCAGGGCCGTTATACCGGCGTGAGGAGGTGGCAGGGAGGCCTGCCTGCATGGCAGGGCGGGCGGTACGGTTCTGTCTAGGGATGGGTCGACCCTCTTGGAAATCATCAATGTCAAACCCATCAGCAGGAGCTGGAGGGTAAGCACGAACATCTGCATGTGGTGGTGGAGCCTGAGAATATTCAGGTGGCGGAAAATGTGGCACTGGGGGAGGGGGTGGTGGTTGGAAGTAACCCGGAGGGAGATAACCATAAGCAGCTGCTGAAGGGTTAGAAAACCGGGGAAGTAGTGGCCGGAACAACCTTGGGCGGGGACATTCCCTCCAGATGTGGCCGGCTTGGTGGCAATTATAACAGGTCCTGGTTGCCGTGGGAGTCCTGTCCCGTGAGGGAGTAGGGGTCTGTGGCACGTAGCCTTGGGTGGCATGGGCAGGTCCTGTGATAGGTGTTGTGGTGGTAAACATCAGTGGGCTAGCCCTCCTCTGTGTAGGTTGTAACACTGACTCTAGACCCTTAGCAACTAACAAAAGGGTGTCAAGGGGAATGATTCTATACTCAGGGCGTGATAGGATTAAACCTTTGCGGATGTGTTCCTTTAATCCAGCCACAAAGGCTGCAGACAACATCTGGGTGTGTGCTTTGTTATAAGTGCTAAACCCTAAGTCTGAGAAAGTCTGGGTTAGACGTGAATGATATTTCTCAACTGACTCAAGCTTGTCCTGAACAATGTCATTTATACACGTGGCCTGGTCGGCTAGCTTGTCTTGTGCCCAAGCACGGAGTTGCTCACAAAACGTAATACCGGATTGAAAGTCTGTATCAGTGGTAAGAGGAGCATCACTGAAACTCCTCGCCATTATTGGCCAGTAGGCATCACCAGCTTTTATTTCATACAAGCTAAAAAGATCCCTCCATGCAGCGGAGTAGGTTTTGCGAATCTGAGCCATTCTACGGAAGAAGGGCATCGGATGTTTCTCTGGGTCAGGGAGGGAGGTAACCAAGGTGGCAGCTTGTGAGGGGTTAAATGTGACATACATAGGTGGTGCACCGTCAGCACCAGGGGATGCCTGGGGATGCACTCCGGAGATGATATGTCTCCGTGGGAGTCTATTACTCCGACAGTGGAGTGGACCATGCTCTTCTACATCAACCTCCCCGGGAGTAACGGGGCCCCGAAGGGAAGCAGCATCGGGGGAGGCGGGGGCTGGGACGGCCGGAGTGGCAGGGGTCCGGAGTCCCTTGATGGGTGACGTGGTTGGATGGAAACCTGAGGCTGGCGGGGAGACACCCATCGCATAGGGTTGGTCCGAAGTCACTGACTCATCGGAACCGACCACCATGAGTGGGCAACTGGTACTCACGGGGGGAGTTTAGGGAACCAGGGCCATGGAAGGGGCAGGGGTGGGGGCAGGTGACAGGTGAGTATTTAAGACATGGGCTAGAGCGGAGATTGGATCAGAGGCATCAGGGGGTAGTGGGGAAGGGGAAGGCGGATCAGGAGGACCCGGAGTAGGGGGTTGGGGCGTAGCTGTAGCATCGAGAGGTGTAGTAGGAGGAACAGGAGTAGTGGGACGAACCAAGGAGGAGAGGACAGAGAGGAATGACGACAGGTCAGCGGAAGGAAGGGAGGAATCAGAGGTGGTAGGGGAAGGGAGAAGAGTAGGAGGGATAGAAACAGCAGGGCGGGTTAGAGCCGTAAGGGCGGAGAGAAGAGGTGAAAGGTCAGTAGGAAGAGGAGATGAAGACAATGGAGTGGGAGGAGTAGGTGTGGTAGGGGCGGGAGTAGTAGGATGGGTCAGGGCTGAGAGGGTAGAGAGAAGGGATGAAAGGTCAGTATGAAGAGGGGAAGAGGAAGAACCAGAGGATACAGGGGGAGGGACAGGGATAGTGGGTGTGGGAATGGTAGGGTGGGTTAAGGCAGAGAGGGCAGAGAGGAGGGACAAAAGATCAATAGGAGGAGAGGAAGGAGAAGGAGAGTCGGTAGTTGTAGGGGGAGAGATAGGAGTGGTAGGGGTGGAGTTAGTAGAACGGTTTAGGGCTGAGAGGGCAGAGAGAAGAGATGAGAGGTCAGTAGGAGGAGAGGGAGGAGAAGCATCTAGCATCTGGCAGATGTAGGGGGAGGAATAGGAGTTGTAGGGGTGGGGACAGTGGGATGGGCTAGAGTTGTGAGAGTGGAGAGAAGAGATGAGAAGTCAGTAGGGAGGGGTGGAGGAGAAGAAGAATCTGCAGGTGCAGGGGGAGGGATAGGGTCAGGAGGGGCCGGAATAGTAGGATGAGTTAAGGCTGAGAGGGCGGAGAGAAGAGATGAAAGGCCAGTGGGAGGAGAAGAAGGAGAAGGAGACGGAGAAGAAGAAGTCAGGACGGTCGAGATAGTAAAGGGAAGGGGCGGGGTAAGGACATCGGGAGGTAAATCAGGAGCTGACGGGGCAGGATCTGGAATGGGGGGAGGGAGCGCTGAGGTAGTAACAGGTAAAAACGGTGGGAGGGGCGGAGGGCAAGGAGGTGGAGGGAGTGGAGGGACATCGGTGGGGGTGACTGGGGGAAGGGGCGATGACAGGGTCACAGGGGGTGACGTCTGGGCGGTAACGGGAGAAGCTGGGTGGTAATTAATTATCACGTTCTGGGCGCCATCATAGGGCGGTGGTCGGGAAGCAGTGGGGGATACATCATCATTACAAACATTTCGGGGATACACGTAAATAGTTTGTCCCTCAAAGTCTAACTCTTCCTCTGTCCAACCCTCCCGTTTGAGACCTCTAGCGACCCGATACCAAGCTTCTACAGCTTTTGTCAACCCATTGTCCAGCAACAGACCCTCCTTATCTACAAGCAGTTTCCTCCAGAACTCAGGTTGCAGCCTACAACTAGGCGACATTTGGAAACCACATACCTTGGCTATCTTTTTAATTTTCAACATTGCATCCTCCCCTGCTCTTTCTGTTACAATATCACAAGCCAAGAATCCCTTAGCAGGTCTAGCATGTTCCTGCCCCATCCTAACCAAACAAAGAGAGCCACATGTAAGGGACAGATATATAGAGAAGAAGAAGTAGGAATGTCTACAGTGCTCAACTGCCACGAGGACTTGAGCCCCGTGCGTCTTCCCCAAACGTAGACTAGTCACGAGGGTCTGCCCACCCAAAATGGTGGCCACGAACCGGAGCGAGCGAGCGTGGGTGACTAACACAGCTCTGGGCAACAGACACAGGAGAGGTAGAGAACAAAGGAGAAGATAAACGTGGCAACACTAACCAAAAGGCATTTGCAGAAATCACACACATAAAGATGAGTGTAAACCCCAGAATCCAGGACCAGCCACACGACACACACGCACACACGCACACACCGAGGGTACCCACACTGTAACAGCAGTTAAACAGAAACCACAAAATGACATAGAGCAATATGGCCATGTACATGTTAAAACAACATACACCAAACAGTAAATTGTGACAACTCCAGCCTTCCTCACTAGGCTGTAACTCTGTAATCCGACCTTTTACCGGGTCTACAATGAAGACACAAAACCCCACCTTCTACTAGGCGGTACCCAGCCTTCCATGGGCTGTAACCCAGCCCCTTAACGGCTGTACTTAATATCCCAACCCTGTTACCCGGGTTGTACCCAGCCCCTTACCGGCTGTACTCGATATCCCAACCCTGTTACCCGGGTTGTACCCAGCCCCTTACCGGCTGTATGCGTCCCCTGCCCGCTAGGCAGTCAAGCTAAAATTATAAAAGAACCGGCTGTCACACCCATTCATACATACACACAGGAGGCAGAGAGACAATCGACAGGTTCATTAAAAAGGGACACTGGATGAGTTATTACCTGTCTCTTGTAGCCTTCTGGAAGCCGGAAGTGGACACAGAGACAGACCGACACAAAACAGGAGAATAACACAGACAACGGCTGTATTATGGAGGTGATCAGGCTCCGGTTGTCCCACTTTCCAGAGGTCCGCTCCGGTCCGTTGGTTTCTGGCCCTCCGAACCGGCAAATCCGGTGGCCCCACGTTGGGCGCCAATTGAAATGGAAAAATCAATCAATAAATTGATTATTCTTTGTGTATCTGCCCCTGGCCAAATTAAGAAAACAATGTGTGCATGCTCCCTGAAGTAATTCACACCAGATACAGGTTTCAGGTTGTTGAATAACTTGAGGAATGTTTATTCAGAGGGGACGGCAGGTCCCTTTTAAAGCAGAATTACATCATAAGCATTGTCAGAGATAACATGAAATAATACATCAATAATTGGTTAGGTGTTAAATGGTCTTCTTAATGCTCTGTCTACTAAAGGTGATGTCACTGGAACCATGAGGGTCTCCCCCAGATTCCAGCGCCATCTTGGTGCACGAGGTAGTTAGTCGGTGTTATAGGGAGGGAGGGGTTAGAAGCTTCTAGCGGCCATTTTGTCTAAATATGCATGAATAGCTTATATACTGATTTCAGTGAAAGGAGTAAATAGACATTTTACTAACTAGAAAATATATCAATATCTCATTTCCACAGCACATTTTACCAATATAGGCTTTCTCAAATGGTATTGTAGTTTTATGCACTTTTAAAAATTAAAAAAAAAGAAAGGTAAGTTCAGCATAACAGTGCCGCTTTAAGGCTTTCTTCTTTTGAGGATTGGCTGAGATTCTTGTTCTGATAAATTGAGGATGGGGCATTTCATCTTCAAATTCTAGGGTGTAGCCTGATGAGACTATACCCTTACCCACATATCCAGAATTATGTCCCAGGCATCCTGGAACCGCAATAGTCTGGCGTCTACCAGTTCCTGAGAATTGACACCTTCAGAACTGCTTTCGGGAGTGAAAGGAAGACGTAGGATTCTTTCCCCTGGAAGTCTTTAGGCTACCACTGCTAAATACATTCTTCTTACCTGCAGAGCATGCGAAAAAGCAGATAAGAGAGCCAAAAACTGCCAGAACCACTGCTAACCGACAAGAGTAACTAGTAAAAAGGTATTTACATTTAAATTTTGTGCTTCCGTGCCTTTAAATGTTTATGCATGCCCATTTAGACCATGAACACCCTGACCACCATTTTTGAATTTGGCAAACTAAGGCCTCTTCGCGGCCACACATGCACGCATGCTCCCGTATCGGAGATTTTGTTCTGGGAAAATGGTGCGGCAAACCGACGTCCTGCAGCTTGCCCTAGCCCTCCAAGGTTAAAAAGGAGTCTGTAAGGCTCGAATCCCAAGGCAGCTGCCAGTAGAAGGTGTATGCAGAGGGAACTAATCTCTGCACTCTCTGGGAGTCCCCATCTGCTTAGAGGTAGGTTGCATGTACCTGGAGCTTCCTGGAGAGGGAGGCTGACCTCATAAAGGATAGGGACTAAAAAAATAGTCAGGTGAGCAATCAGAAAAAATAAAAAAAAGTTACAGAATAAAATTCCAAGAGGAACTGTCCTAAAGCTAAGAGGACAAAAAAAAGACTGAGGTGCAGGGACTGATGGAGGTATACCTGCCAACCTAATTATTTATTTTTTTTTCCTGTCATATTGACTGGAGGGAGGAGCTAACCCATTAGTTAAATGCTGCCATGAATAGCCAGGAAATATATATATATATATATATATATATATTTTTTTTTTTTTTTTAAGTGTTTTATGCTATGATAACAGTTTCTATAATCAAGAGAGAAAAGGGATCCATCAACCTCACTCCAAATCATTTGTTTGAACTCTTGTGACTAATTTTGTCTTGTGTCTTTCCTCACTCCCCTTATCCCCTATTTGTACGCCCCATGCACCTTATATTGTTTATTCTTTCTGTCTGAGTTAGACAGCCAGTTATCACTATATTATCTTTTTAGGGTTAGTTCATCTATAGGAAACGTTTTTTGGTATCAATAATCGAAAGTATTTTCGAGATTTTTAGTACTTTTCTATTATAGGGACAGATCCCTTTTCTCTCTTGGTTTCATTACCCTAGGGTTACCCCCTTTTCTGTTCCTTCTATATTTGGATAACCACCCTGGCCAACTTTTCTTCAGTTTCTATAATAAATTGAAGTATTGATGTAATGTGAAGAAACACCAATAAGTAAGTATTGCAAGATGCTTTGGATTACAAACATGCAATCATATACATACAAATAAAAAAAATATACATATTTACTGTACATAGATGTATACATTTAACTCAGTTGAATGAGTTATTGCTAGAATTAAGTAAATTAAATACATTTGATTCACCTCTTATTTTCTAGAATTCGTATTATCATAAAACTGCACTTGTTCATTTATGAATGTATATTTTATTTTGCTTGTTTATCACAATTATTTTAATATTATTAATTGAAGCAAGTTTTTTTTTTTTGCAGTTGTTTATTCAATACGGAAAAATACATCTCATACTTTTTTTAATTGAGTAGCTAACTGATTTTAAATCTATTTCTCAAAAATATTCTTCAGGAAAGCTTTGAGTAGCAATAACTGATACATATTAGGCTGTATTGTGTAATTTCACAAGTGCTTTCTGTAAACATATTAAGAGTTATCCAATTTTTGATGCAATGAAGTGGACATTTTGTGAATGATAAAAGGTATATGATGAGACGAGAATGTGAAAAGAACATCTTGAGATAATGTGACATGAACCACAAATGAACAAGAGACCCTTTTTAAATACACTTTACAAAGCAAATTACCCACAACAACCCCTATTAACAAAGACTGTCCATAGTAATTGCAGTGAAGTATACTTTAAAAAATATTGGAACACTGAACATTATAAAAACCCACTCCACTACCTATTTATATATCTTTTCCATGGATACATTTTTACCTGATTAGTATGAACTCAGATTGAAAATCTGTCTCAAAAATGGAACACTATGTCAAAAAATATTTCCTTCTGAATAACAGACTTGTAGACTATTTTAAGTAAATATGAATTTGTTTATAGCTCTCCTGAGCAGATATCAGTTAGTTTAAACAGATTAAAAATAAAATAAGGCTATTATCTAGGTCTAAAAATAAACATGTGGCAAATAGCATGAGGTTCACATGATACTGAAGCTCTAAGCCACATATCTTCTCCATCCACCTCTTAATTGCTACAGTGTGATGATTTTAAACAATGGAGAGGTGTTTTTTTTTTTTTTTTAAAACAGATTGAGATTGTGATTCTCCCTATCCAAAATGCCATTACAGAGAGAACATATCTGAAACATATCAAACTGGTCCCACCCGTACAGACAGTCCAGATCCGAAATGCCAGCAAGTTCCCTCTGCACGAGAGATACGGCAACCCCAAACAATCATTTCAACCTTGTAATGTATCATCAGTGAGGTATAACCAATATCCCTCTAAGTACTGTGAGCAAGGAGTCCACGTCTTGGGTTGCTGTGTCTCACTTGCTGGCATTTCGGATCTGGACTGCCCGTATGAGTGGGACCAGTCTTATATGCGTCAGATATGTTCTCTCTATAATGGCACAAGATGAGCTAAAACCAGCTTGAGATCTGAGCGGGGGCCCACCGAAGGGCAGGCTATTTCAGCTGCTGTCCGTTCTCAGTACTCTCTTGTGCCTTATTTTTTGCTCTCCATATGTTACAAAACATATCCTCAAGGGACAATATTGCCAAGATTCAGAGTGCATTGGATAAATCTATCCCGTCAAAAATCACCAAAACGGGGTCTGACCTCTGCAATTTCAGTTATATGTGCATGTGTAAATGACCTGGAGGTATCTACTGAGGATCAAGAATCAGAAATTAAAACTTTTGTGACCCAGGTGAATAACAACACCCTACAAATCTCTTTGTCAAGAGGCCACACAATCAATGCAACATGCATAATTAGTCACACGTCACAATGTAGAATAGAATAAGGGAATAAGCTACGTATTACCCTTTCTTAGAGGTGGGCTGGCCTAATGTGTAAAAAGGCAGAGAAATAGCAGTCAAAAACACAAGTTGAGGTCAAAGATTACAAAAGTACAAATTAATGATAAACAAGCCATGGGTATAGGAAGGAAAATGGTTGAGACAAAAATAGTTGAGACAAGCTAAAGATCAATAAATCATGAATCATATATGCAAATGACCATGTTCTCAGATCACAACAAGGGAAACCACAACAGGGCAAAGGTCAGGTGACAAGTGGAAGCTTTAATATCCCTATATCTGTAGTAATTCATCTGTGTAATTTCTGTGACTCTAAAAGACTCATGAATGACATTGCAGATTTGATGTAGGTTTAATTAGGTCTGAAATAAAGCAGTGTGTCTCTGTATAAAATAAATGCAAAGTTTAAGTGAGACACGTATGAAATTATGCTAGAATAATTTGAGGCAGGTGCAAGGGGCACATGCACCTCTTTCATGTCACATAAATAACACAAGTATGAGAGGCCAGTGTCAAAAAAGGTGAGTCAATCTGACAGGTATCATGACTGTAGAAAATGTAGAAAGATCCAGGCACTCCAAATTCAACAAAAGGCAATTTATTTAAACCCACAGCCACATCGCAATGTTTCAACCTACATGGTCTATATCAAGCTTTCAACTGCACACACAACACACTATTTATAGGTATTAATATAATTAAAAAATAATCAATCAGTATAATTAATTATTATTAAGTGTCACTTACACATAAATGAGTGGTATCAGCTGTGTCAAGGGGATGGCTATCCAATAGAAGGCTTCACAAATTAATAAGTAAAGATAAGGAAGGAATCCATTTTCGGGTAACATAAAGAAATACTTTCACATGTTCATCCTCACCTTGTGGTGTCTCTGGGGATAACTACCTTCCAAGCATTGGAACATCCCCTTCTCTCGTTATCATGAGTTTTGTTAGACGATTAACTTGGTTAGCAGCAATTCGTCAATTCTTTATCTTGTGTTCACATGTCGCCGGTATTCACAACAGGGCAGCTGACCATTTATCCTACTTCCGTTTTCAGGAATCCCTCCAACTATACCCCAGTGACTCTCCAATAGCAATTTTTGGCCCCTCTGTTTCAAGACCTCATCATGGATTAGGCCAACTCCTGGC